TCCTCTCCTGCTTGGGGATGAGTGTAGAAATACAATCCTACAAAAATACACTGTACTGGCCCCTCCGAAAGCACTCCTCTCCTTTCTTCTCCCGTAGAGGGGGTGGGTTACTCCGGCCGCTCCAGAAATGCAAAAACACACTCCTGAACAATACACTGCGGCTCCGCTTTGCTACTCTCCTGCGCGTGGGGTGGGGGGGGGAGGGGGCAAAAAGTACACTCTTGCTCTAACTGCTCAGACTAAGGAGACCTCCTCGCTCGCGGCCGCTTCACTATTACACTCATTGCCTTCGCTGGGGAGCTCTCTCCTTTTAATCTTCACACCTCTCCTTTTGCACGAGCTTGAACACTCTTTGATCGTCACAGAACCCGTCAGCAACAAAGAATCCGTCAGCGACAAGAAAAAGGCTTTGTTTGCAGTAAAACTTGGCACTTTTGCAAAAAACCGTCAAATATTGTCACATAAAAAACATCACGTGTTAGAAAACCGTCACAAAACACACTCTAACACAAATTCCGAACCGGAACCTGCTATGTGACCAATTTTAACTCTACATCTCAAAATGAGCAAAACCAATAGCACGATGAACACAAAAGACACAAGTATAACGTGGTTCACCCTAAGGAGCTACGTCCACGGAGGAATACGCTCGAGAAAGTTTACTGCTTGAAGTGATACCCTTCCTATCATCCTTAGGGTATATATACCACTCTAAGCTATAAATAGCTACATATGCGATTAACCTCAGTTAACTCCTTAACCAGAGTTAACCTCAACACTGGCATTGGCTTCGGGGAGGGCAGATGGACTAAGGGACAAGGTGGAAGAATGGACGCAGAAGAAACAGAAACAGCATGAGGTCGCGATTTTGGAGACTCTTGATCAACGTGCCAAAATGCGTGTCCGAAGGCCGGTCCCCACTAAACTTAGAACTGCCAACGTGCGAGCTCGTACGAAGATGAAAGCGCGAAGGCTGATACTAGTGGATGGAAGCAGCATCGAAAGTAGTGTCGTTGCATCGCAAGGCCGTCTCACCTCAGCAGAGTGGGCGGAATTGGAAGCAGATGTTGCCGGAACAGAGGAGAAAGAACCCTCGGAGAGAGGCCTTTGGTCTTCAAAGTGGAGACGTTCAGCAGCGTTGGAGGGTGACGCACCGAATGACGTTGAAGAAATGGAGACAGAGAAGGAGGAAGAATTTTTGAGGCAAAATTCGGGGCCTTCGTTTGAAGCTGTGGTATGCACTCCTTCGGGATAGATGAACTTGGAAGTGTTGATGTTGTCATTAGACAGAGAGTAGTATCCAACTTTGATGGAGGAGTTGGTAGATAGAGTAGTAGAAGGAGTAGCGAGAGATGCTATAGAGCAGCCGCCGGCGGCGTCACCTCGGACGTCTACATGAACAGTTATCTTGGAGATCGGAGAAGATCCTTTGGAGGAGGAAACCCAGTTGGGAGAGATCAATGCGGCAGACATGCTATGTGAGCAGGTGGTTCCTTTATTCTAGTATCTAGATGGTAAGTTAGAAAAGTATGTTGGCCATCCGATGTTGGATCTAACGTGGAGTTAGTGCGTAACATGACATGGGTGAAGGTGGGTGTAGTCACAGTAATAGCAGAACAAGTGGAGAGCTTGACTGCAGACCGTGCAGCGGCAAAGGCTTCGCTGGAGGAGAAGAAGAAGCAACTCCAAGAGTCGGAGTCAAAGTGTGTGGCACTTCAGAGAAGGTTAACAAAGCAGACGAAACTACGAAAGTTTTCAGAGAAGGATTGTGAGAGTCTTCGGACTGATATTGAGACTACCAGGCGAGCGACAGTCGACCTTCGAGATAGACTAGAGGAATCTCGGATGGCCTTCAATGAGGAGTCGCGCCAAGTGGACAAATTGACTGCGGAGTTGGCGAAGAGATATGAGGTACACGCAACGGAATTAGTAGCAAGGGCGAAGGAATTGGCGGAGTCTGAGGCCGCTCGGTCTTCAGAGCTGGAGCATTTGGAGAAGTTGGAGGCCAGCTGCAATGAGATGCGATCGCAGTGATTAATAACAGAAGGGTAGATGATCGAGGTGGAAGCAAAACTGTTGGAAGTGGAGGAGCGGAAGTTGGAAGTTAGCGAAGCGGACGAACGACGCCTTAATCAAAAAGTTGAACTAATGCCTTCGTGATTTTGTGATATGGCAGATTGAGACTAAAAAGTGGCTGCAGTTGCGGGATTTGGAGTGTCAAGTGACGGCGATGATTGCTTGTAGTGTAGGTGGGCAGCGACAGTTAGCTAGGAAGTTGGATGTGTTTCTTTTCGGTTTAGACGAGACGAAGGAAAACTTGGAATTGGAACTAACATCCATTTTGTGTAGATTAGGATTAGAAAGGATATCAGAGGGCGTAGTAACTGCCGGGTATGATGGCGTCGTGTCTGTTTGTAGCTCGCGGCATAGCAAGTGACATCTTGGAGTGTTAGTTAGGAATAAAGGAGTCCAAGGCTTCGGTCTTGGGAAGATTCTTAGTAGTTAGTTTTCTCAGTTTTTGGCTTGCATTCTCCGCGCGTCCATGAATTGAGTGTTCGTCACCTTGCGAGAGAGACTTCGGTTTGTCGAAGATACCGCATCCAAAATAGAAGCTCCAATTCGGGTGTTCTGAGTAACGATTGGCTAGTTCAGGATTTAAGCAAATCTATAATTGAAAGCTCTGTGCAGCTATCTGAGTGTGAACTTCAAGAATTTTCCTCCCTGAATACCAAGACAAAGTCGCGATCGACCTCTATAATGCTTGATTGGAGTAACTTCAAGATTTGAGTGTGATTGACGCTGCAATGTGTTGCCTTCAAACTTAGCAATTGTAGTATTTCTGGAAGTGACAAAGGCCTGAGAATTCAATAGACTGTTAATACGTGACACTTAGTTGCTCTTTGTGTTGCTCTGTCCCCGTGAGATCAGATCTTTACCATTATGCTCTATTTCAATAATCATCTGTCATTACAATAATCTAACACGGAAAAAAAAAATTAATTCAAATTGTTAGGCAATAATTTCATACCAAAAACATATGTGAATTGCCAAGAAAACAATTTTACATGTAACAAAGTATGATACTATTGATTTGTAAGTACACTTGCTGCAATATTTTTATTGATCAAATAAATGTAATCACAACATTTTTTAAAGATCATTGGTGAAAAATATTAACATGTGACAATTAGTTTGCTTTGTGAAAAAATATCAAGAAGAGTTGATTTATCGATGCTGAAATCATTTTATGTATGAAAGCAAGTTCATTGATAATGAATTGTAATGTTAAATGAATTCATGAAAGCACAAGAATTTTCACTTATGATACATGTGAATAGATGAAAAAAATGGATAATAATATCTTCAGTCAATCAACTTATGTTTAAATTGAAGATAAAAGATATTGAAAAAGTAAGTCTATATTATAAATGTGTTTAGAAAAATAAAAAATATGACAGTCCAAACTAATCATTCCAAAGAAATTGATAAATTTTTGGTAGCACATTTTTTTCCGTTTTCATTTCTAAACTTTTTTCATACTCAACTATCCATGATTTTGATATTTTCATTTATTTGATTTTTTTAACACTAGTCGTGATAATTTTTTACTCTATAGGCAAGGTAAATATGAAATAATCAACTCTAACAAACTAAGATTGAAAATCTAAGAGATAGATTTTTATGTAGCTCAAGAGCATCAAAGATTATGACTTTTTGTTTGATATTACATTAGATAATGTTTTATCTTTATTATGTCACGTTGATGCTGAATATCAAAGAAACTAGAGAAGAAACAAACTACAGTTGGCTATGAGTGTACACTTGATTATAGATTCATTTGTTGGAGATTTAGATCGGAGAATTGCATTAATTAGTTAACAATAACAACCAAATATATAGCAAAAAGTAAAACTATCTTGTTGAATAGACTAATCATTGAAATGAGATTGAAACAACATGTTATTTTTTTAGAGTAATCAAAGTATATTGTATCTTGTAACAAATCAATTGTGAATAGCATGCTGTATCACATGATGTATTGCAATCTTATTGTTGCATAAGCTTGTTATAATTACGATAAATTCAATCTAGATGAAATATTCAACATAATTATTTCCTTGGAAAACACTAAAAGAAACTATGATACTTTGCAAACACAGGTAAAGTTTATTAGCAATAAGGTTATACATATGATATATTATAAATATTTACTCTATTTTAAATTGAAATATAATTTATTTATAGTTAACTAGTGATACTATATAGGTTGTCGTATAGAATATAACCTCAAATATTTATATAAAAACATAGAGGTTAAGATTTCCAAAACATGGATCCAAAGAAAGATTATTATGAGTTAAAGTCAGGTCTTGACTAACGCTGATTAGCTTAACTTTGGGTACTTAAACTACTTTTTCACTTTATTCTACAGCGGACTAAAATCAGTGACACAAACTTTGGGTTTTTAAGTAAAGCAATTGTATTCCCGTCGAAATATATTGATCATATGTGTATATTTTGTGTTTGCTTGGTTCACTCGCATTGATGTAGTGACATACTTAAAACTACTAACAAGTTTTAAAGTTAGCAAGAACCATTTGAGATATTCCCCAAATACATTCAGCTGTCAAGTAAATTTTTGGTTGAGTATAACTTTTGAGTAATATGATTACATTTCTCTTTAATGATTTTACCGACATTTAATTCTTTTGCACCCATATAAATAGAGTGAATTGTTTTATTTTCGGTGCATAAGATTTGCTTAAAATTACCATCGTTACAAGAAACATGTTGTATGTAAACGAATCAACTTTCTTTTGGTTTCGATCTACAAATTTTGGAAACGCTTTTCTCCAATCAACAATCGTAATTATATTCAATTTGGACAAGGAGCTCGTTGTGGTGCGTTTGGAAGAACCGAGGTCCTCCGATGCAATAACGAGGGACGCGTAGGTTTCGTGGAAACAGTAATGGATCCTCGATTCATTCGCTAACCCCGCAAGGACGTCGTGTCGTGTTCATGCGAGATCGGTACTCGGCGGCACCACGAGACGAGAGGAAAGGAGTGACGTGAAGCGAGGGCGATAGTTGCTTCCTTAGGGCGCTTTGGTTTCCTTTTGTTGTTTGGTGCGGATTCCTCACAGCGCTTTGAACTTCGTCGGATCCGAGGTGGTCGTCGTCTTTCACTGGCGGTCGTAGTCGTTCAAGTTTTGCAAGTTCTGAAGAACTTGCCGAATTAGCAATCGAGGTTCAGGATGGGAGCAGAAGATTTTTGGGCAAGCTTGGGGCCGGGAATTTGCGGCGCTGTGTTTAGTGAACAGGTTTGGGCAAGCCTGGGGCCGGGCATTGCTGGGGCTGTCTTTGGTGGCGGATGGTGGTTTTGGGTTGATGCCGTGGTCTGCAGCGCAATTACTGTACCGTTTTTGCACTACCTTCCAGGTACTGATTCGAGCCTTTAATTCCTCGTCGATGTAAATGAATTCCACGAATGTCATAATTCTTAAACGCAGTAAAACGTCGATTGCTCCGGCACCAGATCCGAAACGAATCGCAGTTTTCGACGAGTTTTCTGTTTTTCAAAGTACGAAAGAAACAGGACAGCTCCTGATTCTTGCACTTCCTAGCTAGCAAAGGAACCGTGAAGCTGCAAATTTCCGATGGTTGGGTGTTTTTCTGAACACAGCCGGAATCTCCACAATTTTGATCCTCTGAATCAAGGAATCAACGCTGCGAAAGTCCTTTGGCCCCCGCGAATTTTCTGTCAGCCGAAGAGGTGTTCAACTGTATAGTTCTGAGACTAGTGGCAAACTTGATTATCTCTGTCCTCATGTCTTCACGTCATTTGCTACCGACGGTCTCGATATCTGTGTGGAGTTCCCAAATTTTGTTCATCAAGCCTTGTGAACGTATGAAAGTTTTTGACTCTAGCACAGCAAACAGCCATCCCAGGATGTAAATTTACACTAGGTTACGTTCCACTTTACACTCTTGGTAGGTATTTTAACTGGTGCAGAACTTCTGAAAATTGAGAGAAGAGTTTTCTTTTCTATGAAGGGAATGAAATAAGTGTTACACGTTCCACGGGCATAACCCCCACACACTTTACTTTCCTCAGAACATAAAGGAACGAGTACACGCGGATTTAGATAATGCAAGCACCATTCTATGCACACAAAGCTGATTAATGGGTCTATCTATCTATGAGCAGGAATATTTGCATCCATTGCTGCGCTCATGTTCAACTGCGTCAGGAGAGAAGATCTCACCGATTACTCACCGTACGACGATGGCGAATCATGCAGGTACGCACGTCTCCACCTTCGTAATCAGTTAAAGACCTGGCTTCGAAGACCTGAATTGGAAGCTACGGCTTACGGAGGAAACCTGGATCATTTAGAAGATAAGAAAAGTAGCTATACTAATTAGTAATTTCTTTACTAGTCCTCAAGAATATAGGCAGCTGAGAGATGTTGTTATTAATATATATGGAAGAACTGGTAATAAGAGGAGACGAAATCAACGGAGAGGCGGAAGATGGTTTCTCATGTAGTAGGAATCAACCCTGCAAACGAGGGTCGTTTGGAGCTTCCAGGTTTCAACCCGGAAAGTATTCACTAGCTCATTCACCTGTAGCTGTTGGCCCGGAAATATGTGCCTAAAAGAGCAGCCCTGAAAATCAGAACATAGGGCTTAAAAATAAAGCAGAGAAGTTTCAAGTATGTTCACCATCTGAGCTAGGTTGTGGTAGATTGTCGATGTTATGCATCGCCTGACGGTGCTAGATGTGATCATTCAAGCTAGTGGCAGAGGAGTTTGGAGATATTGGTTGTTTAAGTTGGTTAATTTCGGAGCTGCAATCTATTTGTTAGTAGATCTTCGTGGACTTTTCCAATTTCAAACTTCGAAGTTCAAACCACCATCTAGCCGAAGCAATTTGATGTTTGCTGAGTACTGGTGCAACCATGTTGTCAATTCTGGAGCGTGTTGTCAAATCTTGAGCTAATTTTTGTCGTTTGTTCATTCCATTCTATGCAGATCAAAGACTTGGCTCTTTTTCGCATACGTTGTTTCATTCGTGTCTTTAGCAGGATCAGTCGGTATGCTGCTACAAGATGCCCATATGGAAGGAAAGCCGTCTACGTGGACTGGCGCAGCTGGTGTGATTCAGTGCACTAACGTCCTTGCCAGGTATTTCCTCCGTTTCTCCTTACAAAGTGCGTCTGCCTACTGCTTAACATCGTAAACACTTTTTGAAACGATTGGGTTTGACGATTTGGAGTCATTGTCGAGAGGAGAAATCATTTTCTGGTATTTTGAATCTCATAATCTCTTTAGAGTGGGAGGCCTTTAAGAAAACTTGTTACTACACCCGCGAAGCATTTCACGAAAGTCCTCTTGGTTTTCTGTGCAGCGGTTTAATATATTGGACATCCAGATCGGCGAACCATCATTGACATATGTTCTGTCGTTACTTCGATCAACCAACTTGATTTGCTTATATCCCCGCAGTAGTTGCAGCTTGTTGTTTGAAAGTTTCCGGTTCTCCGAAACTGTCGGATCTGTTTATATGTAAAATTTATACACAAAAACTGAAAGGCCTTTGTGGGAATTTCAATCCCAATGCAGATTCCTTAGGTTATCAATGCGCGTTGTGTAGTGACTATCACTCCTGCTCAGTCGAACTGTATTTTGTTCAGTTGTTAGCATAAGCATTTGTAAATCGTTCACATAGCACTTTTGTTCAAGTTGTCCTCATCATTGTAGGTTCAGCTTTTGCAGTTTGTGTAAACGCAATCTTTCAGTTGTAAAACTTAAAGATCAAAAGTCGGAAGAAACTCAAGTTTGGTTGTTTATGCAAGTTGGTTCTTGTGTCTGCTGAAGGCCTTTGGACAGAAGGTGCAAATTGAAGTGTGATTATTTCGTCATCATGCGTAACCTAGTTTGTTGATTTGATCTGTTCTGAGACTGTTTTAGGGTAAAGTAGACGATAGAACATAGACAGCTATTGACTGAAGGTTAAGAGATAAACTAAAGTTTCACTAACCAAAAAAAGTAAACATAACTCGCCGTTTTTGAAATATTACATACAGTTTAAAAGATGTGAATGAACTAGTGTCACGTTACCATTTTACTTCAGTTCATTTACGAAGTATTCACGTACATATATAATCTTGCCTATGGTTACGTGGAACCCAATACATGTCTCGAGTCCCATTCTCCTTTGAAACTCAAGAACACCACTTGAAGGTGCTAGTCCGGCGATACAGATCGAGGTCGAAAGGAATCAATATATTCAGTTTCCAACCGCAGAAAGAGCCGGGGCCTTCGAAGGGAGGATCAAAGCATAAGATAGGTTCTCAAGCAAGCACAGATTGCTCCTTGGGAAGACATGAAAATCTTCAGAAAGGGATAGCAATTCGTGCTCGACGTTCTACTCTCACGCCTCAGTTTGATACTGAAGCCAGGTCATCAGCAACTGCCATTTCAAGCATAGGACACATACCATTAGGGAGAATGTTTCCTCAGGATCCGTTTAGACCTCATTTGTCTTGAGCCCTCAAGACAAATGAGGTCTGAATGGCGTCAAGACATACACTAAGATATTTTGAGACAGATACAACCCGTGAAGGCTTTACTTTCATAAACCTAAGTTTAATCACATTGGTAGCTCAATCTACAACTCAAAAATCCGGGGTAGAATATTCTTTCAGGCCCATTGAGATTTATTTGAATCGGAGGATACAGTTGTGATATCAAATCTGTACCCAACTCTAGTACCTCTCCCAAGATTTACAAGAGCTGGGTAGCCTCTACAAGCTGTATAGCATGTAACTGAGACGCGGCGGAGCCAGATAAGTGTGAACATAATTTGTTTCGGATTCACTCTATTTTCATACCAAGGTTTTCCATACTTCTGAAACTTTTAGCCTCGGTGACTCTCAAGTTCTGTAAATACTTACTGAGGATTTTTATGATCACATATACCGGTTTGAAGGATATCTCGAAAACTACTCAGTGCCTCGGGTTGCACGCTGACAACCGAGCTTTGCATACATTTTGAGATCACATTCATGGAAGATAAGCTCAAGAAAATATCTTGGAGAAAGATTGATTGAGAAACTTTGAGCCCGGTAATATATTCAACTTCCAAGGGCTTTGATGTCGTTTTCAAACAAAGGGATATCGAACGATATCCCTTTAAGTACTGGTTAAGCAATTCTGCTGCGTTCTTGCATAAAACGCAGTTTGCTGAAGACTTTTTGAACTAGCATAGTGTCCCACCACTTATGGTTTACTTGTATTCTGGCAAAATCATAAACGGAAAGGACACATATTCATATAGCATTATCTTCATATCCGAAAACCCCTGCAGGTCTTCTGATTAGACCTCGCATGATTCTGGAATGAAACTTTCACACCTCAAAACAGAAGTTTTGTAAAACTTTAGCTCTGTGATGATAGGGGTCCTTTGAAGACGACACAGGTTAAGAATCTCATAACTTGGCAACATTAACTAAAACTCTGACATGGTAACTTTTTTGCAGCCTCAAATCTTCCTCTCAAATGATTTGAGATTACTAAAAACTAAAGGGTAAAAGAAACATATCACTGCGTTTGTGAAGAACGTAAGCCTGGAGAATGGAGCCTCTCCAAAAACAACAGTGTACATAAATATATATCCATTATACTAAAGAAATCTACTTCGGCCTTAGACTACATGGGCGAGAAGAAACAGGGCTGTGTACTCACGAGTGTTTGATTTTTCTTCTGGATATATGCACATCCTCTGCTGGTATAAATTCACATCCCTGCATTGGGCTGCTGCTTGTAGCCCAAGTTATAGCGAGCATCTGGTAGAGATAATCTCTATAGGGCCGAAAAACTGACAATCCGGCCAACAGAAGAAGCTATGGGTCCAATGGCCCACTACAACTTCAACTCTTGTGAAGACCCACATGACTCGTGTTCAAGCGATTTGATCATGGCAAGATATCCGACGGCAAGGCATTTGACAACTACTTTTCAAATAGAGGATACAATATGTCTGAAGAGGCTGATTGCTCTGTTCCCGTTTTGAGGGTATACGTCGACTATAGCTGATTCGAATATGGACGTGACGTCTTAGAATAGCGAAGGTAAGGTGGTAAATTATTCCGACATCCGTCCATGAGGAGATAGTGATGGTCATATGGAGTCCTCATAGCTCTCTGAACTTCTCAATCAGGCGGAAAAGAGTTAGTGTATGGCTCCCTAATTCGTTGACATACTCTCTGCTGCTCATCCAGTCATGTCTAATCTGGTTGCCATCTGAGCCGCCGGTTTTCTGTCCGTATTCCGCGGTCGATAGTCAACATGAACACTCCCAGCACTATTAGAAGCATACATTGATCAGGCGATTTATTGTGCGAGCCATCTATCACTGTTTGCAAATACGATTGGTCTAGTGAACCTTAAGATTTCATAATCTTCTCATTGACAGGAAAGTAACAGAGGTGGAATGGATGTGTAAGAAAAAGGACAATCGTGCTCGTCGTTCTAGTTACCTGGGAGAGGACTGAGTGGTAAGAGCCTAGCTCAATATGACGAAGTCCAGCAACTTCCCCACCATTGACAATTGTAACTACAAACTCGGGAACTGGAAAGTTGCCAAGGAGGGAAGGAGGTCAATGAATGAAAGTGTAGCAGAAGTCATACTTTGGAAGAGATATACACAAGCCGTGAGCAACCGACCAGTGGAGACACTTGAGTACAAAGTTCCACTTTCTAGAAGAAGATTCATACCAAGACTTAGGCCTACTTACTCAAGTACTTCTAAAGCTTACGTACGCCACTTGGATACCCATACCGGCGGCGGTCAGTTGCTTAAGATAAAAATTCATATGACTGTTCCTAGGATTCGCAACAGGGAGGTATTACTGAGAGAAGTGACTAAGGCGAGCAAGGCAGTTGTAATGTGCATTGATGTGTGATGAGAAATGTAGTTGGTAAGAACGTAAGAATTTCGATTTGTGAGTGCCAGAACACGAATGGGAATATGTGAAGCATTTGTGAATATTACAGTCTTCTCCTTCCAAAGGAGGTCAAAAGCTTTGACTGACAATACTATCATATAAGAATGAATGTGAGGTTGTGTCTAATATTTACCTTGTTCAGCCTTCTTGCATTTATCATAGAAACACATTTTATAATTTATATTCTAGTTCTTGTCACATGCGAATTACAACGAAGTTTGTGACGTGTTATGAATGTGGTTGGGCTGGAGTTCGGAATCATCAATATCGATTTCATCTCAAATGTCGACATGCAGAGTAGTGGTTCTAAGGCCGGAAAGAAGCCTTTTGTTAACTGGACTTCGGACGAGAAGATGAATTGGAATGATAACCGTCAGTTAAGATGTGATGTTGAGGAGTTGATAGCAGGATATAATGAACGAAATCCATCTCCAGATGGATCTGGAGAACAGTCTATGAGCAATTTCAGTCCACTCATCCTTGAGACTTATTCTAGACTGCTTGAACTTAACTGTACTTAAGCTAAAGTGAATAACAAAAATGATGGGATGTCCCATCTAGCCCTATCACCGATCAAACCAAGCTGGTAACATCAGATATATGTACATGTACTGAATATGAACTACTGCGTTTCACTTATACGAAGAATCTGTGCAAAATCTCTTACATGTAATGTGATTGTTTTACACTGGATTTCACCAATTAGTAATTTCTTTCGCACAATTAAAAGTGTTTCCACTTGCTTATATATATATTTTTGTAGATATTTTATGATGAATTTATCATGATTTCTGATGGAAAAATTTACATATCAAGAACCAAACAGAATTAAGTGAAAAAAAAACTTCAGAAATTTGTGATGAAATTATTTTTTTGTAGACTTTGGTGTACTATTTTACCAATAATATCAAAGAAATTTTAAATGATTGAAAAACTTAAACTACATGACATGTTATATATAATTTTGAATAAATTTTATCACACAAGTAAAAAAGTATCATTATATCAAGAAATAAACTATGAATAACTTTCAAACTACTTCTTAACTTTCAAATTTTATAATTATTTATAATAATAATAACTGTATGAAAATCACACACTAATTTACTTAGTTCAAATCCACATGAGTCTACGACCGAGATAAAAGCTGAAGTAATCTGAAGAGCATTCTGACTATCACAATGAAGATTGACATCCGGCTTTGGCATTCCCATCTCAGTGATAAGCTTGTTCAACCAGATTGCTTCCTTCGTTGCCTCTGCTGTTGCAACATATTTATCTTCTGTGGATGACAAAGAGATGCACTTTGGAACCGTTGATCTCCAACTAATGCAGCCACATGTAAGAGTGAAAACATATGTAGTCATTGATTTTCTCTTGTCCAATTTTTTCCATGATCAGCATCCACATATCATAAAAATGACTTGGCATTTATTGCTTTTGCATCAAACTATAGGCCATGTCGTTATAATTATATCATAATTAAATGATATAATATCATTATAAACAATATCTTTACATTGTGTGATTCCCTTGGCTAGCTTGGTAGCCTTGATTGATTCATATATATTCGTGGATCCATCCTTACTCTTTTACATGCACCTACAATCTATCATTTTTTAATCTTGGAGCAATTCCACAAGTTTTCAAGCGTTGTTGGCATGGAGTGACTTCATCTCCTTTTGCATCTTTCCATTCCACTCTTGCTTCTCACTAAAAGCTAGATTTCAAGAAAAAATATAGATCTTCATCTTCAGTGATCAAAGCTTCACATGAATCCTCAGCATTAGCTTCAATATCATCATTGACTAAATAGTCAAATCAAGTGTCATAACTAGCCGGAG